AAACAACTTTAGTGCACCAGCTCTTGCAGCATATCAAGATGCAACGTGCCCCAGACAAGGTCTCCCGAAGTAGGACAAGGGCAGACGAAGAACCTCTCCAGCAGGGTCCCGGCAAGCAGCCACTCGACCAACTACGAACCAAGCGTTCGGGCAGTGTACACTCCCAACTAGGCCCTCGAGATGACGTATACTCTCGTCTTACCTCGCGGAGCAGCGTGCACTCTCAATTAGGCCCACAGACGAACATACACTCACAGTTAGGGCCACACTTCGATAATCAACATGAGCAACCTTCTAGGCGAAGTGTTCATTCGCGGCAAAACCCGCAAGGAGCATCCTCCACCTCACATCGGAGTAGGCAGCACAGTAGACGGAGATAAGCAATCACTCAATCTGGCTCAAGTTCAACCAGTAGCCTGCGAGTTACTCGTTCTCATGTTAGAAACATACCACATCGACCGTAGTTATGACATAGATGAGCCGAACACATGGAAAAGCAGCCTAAACCAGTAACTCACGAACGGGGGCAGCCAAAGGCTCTGCCACCCCCAACAAAGGCAAATTTAGGAAGAAGTATAAATACTCCTGATCGATTGCACGATTTTCCGCGCAACGAAGCTATTGACAAAGCGCTTTGATGAGACATGACCAATATAAGCGAGTCATCTTTCAATGATAAGATCGGGTAGACGAGACTACCTCACATAAATTGCCGGATATAAAGACTTTTTTTGTTTCGACAAACACAGCAGCTCAGCCTAATGGCACGCCGGGGGCAGACGAGTACCAGAAGAACACACCAGCCTGACTACCAAGAACCTGGGGCAGACCTTGTTCTCAACACTCCAGACAATTCCTCCCGCTGCACACAACCTGGGCCAAGCTAGCCCTATATCTGATTTCACAACCGCGTCTGCTTGCTCCACGGCTTCCCGCAACCATTGATCTATCACTATAGTTCATAACTGTGCCAATCTTGCACCATGGTTCCCAGCCATGCAGATCTTGCCATGTGGTTCATGCCAACCAAGCCTCAAAAAGGCACACGACGAAACATCTAATGATGGCGCAATAATTATAGGAGCAGCTCACTGCGCTTACACCCTTACGTGGGTTCCACAAGCAGTTCAAAGTCTCAAGCAGTTCGCCAAACAAGACCTCGCAGGCTGAGGATTATTTCAGTTGTCCAGCAATCCAGCTTTCTTTAGCTGCACTCACAACAATGACTTCCATGCTCTCCAGTGCGAGAAGATAAACCAATTCCCCGACACCCAAAAGGGATTGTTATCCAATGCGAGAGGATAAACCAATTCCCCGACATCCAAAAGGGTTTTCTCTCCAGTGCGAGAGGTTAAACTAATTGCTCTCCAGTGCGAGAGGGTAAACCAATTCCCCGACACCCAAAAATGTATGTTCTCCAGTGCGAGAAGTTAAACTAATTGCTCTCCAGTGCGAGAGGGTAAACCAATTCCTCGACACCCATATGGGTCCACTCTCCAACACGAGAGGTTAAACTAATTACTCTCCAGTGCCAGAGGGTAAACTAATTGCTCTCCAGTGCCAGAGGGTAAACTAATTTTCCGACACCCATTTGGGTAAGCTCTCCAATGCGAGAAGGCCACATAGTTCAAAAGATCGAATGCTTAAATATCAATTAAGTAACAAATGGTTAGGAAGCAGTAGCCACTTTTACACTTAATAGTTCGCTCATCCGACACTTCATCTTCAGCAACTCCAATCTTCGCAGCTTCATCCTTGACTGCTCCATCTACGGCAGCTGAGAAATCAAACTCAAGCAGTTTCCTCATTTTTGGCAAGCAGCCTATACTTGGCAGCCCAAACCGTTGTCCATGCCATGTCACTTCCTCGGCCCATGCCAAGCCAATCCTTGGCTTTAATCAAGCCGAACAACACAAACAATGGCCCCTGCCACACCATCTCCTTGGCCCATGCCAAGCTGACTCCTGGCCCCTACCAGCCGACGTGCTGCACCGCCCTGACGGTTGCCCCGTGGCAGCACCTCCCAAGAAGAAGATAAGGAGAATTAAGTTTTCCTTACATCGGTGCGGCGCGGAGAAGACAAAGAAAGCAACGAAAGACGGTCCTTTGCACGGACAAGATGTAGAAGATTGCTAGAGGAGGGGGAACAAATATCTTCTAAGCTTTCTCTCTCTTGTACAGGTAGAATAAATCGCTCTCCAAAGTTGATTTAACAACCTACTTAAGGTGGACCTAAATAGGCTTTGAGAGAAATTTATTTCCCTTTCCTAGAAAAATCTAATTTCACATTAAAGAGGGAATCTACATCAAAATAGGAAGCAGTCATAAGTTTCTTAGAGCAAGAAGATCTCTACACCTGCTGCCCTTTCCTACGAACATCCCAGCAGGTGTGGGAGCATTTGTGGAGCCAAAAATAATCACAAGGCGACACGTGAATTTTTTAGTAAAAGAGAACCAAACTACCCTTGAGGCACACCGGGATTCCTACACGCGAGCAGCTAAAAAATGCTCCAAATAGGTAACAATTCAATATTCATCTCATCAAATTCTCTTTTTTGCAAAGTAACCTCCAAAATAAATTAATTGGTAAATTAATAGATTAATTACCCAATTAATCCATTAATTACCTATTAAATTATACAATTTAACCTAAAAATTGTTAAAGGGCCGGCCACTTCCTTTTCATCCTCACCTTTCTCACTTTTCTCCATTTTATTACCCCATTTATACAAATAAATAATTTTGTAACCTCCCATTCACTTCTTTCATACTTAATTAGCCAATAAATTGGCTAATTAAGCCAAAACCATAACCACAAAATCCCTTGAAAAACCGGCCACTCCTAGCCCTAAAAATAGGCTCCTATTTTCACCAAACACTCATTCAAACACTTTGGCAAAAATCCCAAAAAACTCTCCAAATACTTTTCTCTCTAAATTCTAACTTTGACATCGGAGGTTCTTCGGCCAAAGCCCCCCCATTCATCGTGGGAGCGTGAGGCTCTTGGCCTTGACCTAAGGTGTTAATTGTTTTGTATGTGCAATTTTATCCAAGAAGAAGAAGACGGAAATTTGCATCCACAATTCTAATATGATACACATATAGAGCTTGCAAACTTAAGATTCGTTTTAAAATACTTTTAAAATGATTAAAAGTGTTTTCATAGAAAAAATTTGGGGACTTGTTTGAAACTGTTTTCTAAATGACTAAAAACATGTTTAGAGAAAATGTATTGGGGGGCTTGTTTGGAACCGTTTGAATCAAAAGTACTTAAAATGTTTTCTGCAATAAACATCTGTTATGTGATTCTTGCTTGAAGGAATAAAGTGTTTTTTTATGATCCACTTGCCATTTTACTAAGGTTTAATTCCAAAAGCTTTGTTCACCAAAACGGTTCAACCATTTTAAAATCACTTCCACATGAGGAGTTTCTAAAGCACTTCAAGTACTTTTCAAGTATTCATTTGCATTTTTACTAAGGATTGGTTCTAAAAATATTTTCATCAAAAACACCTTCAACCATTTTAAAAGTACTTGTGTAAATTATACAAAAGATAAATGAATTCTTTTAAATCATTTAAAAATCTAAAATCTATAAAAACAAAAAAGGACGAGAAAACAAAAAGAAAAAATTAGTATCCGGTCCTTAATTACTAATGTTCATTGACTGAGACCTTATTAGTTTTTAAATTTTGATTGAAGTCCCTAGCTAGCATTCATGTGATAATGAATTTACATGTTAATTACATAATTTTTTAAAATAAAAATTTGTAATTGATTTAGGGTTTTAATACTCACACCTTTATTAAACTCCTAATTAATTTTCGATTCAAACATTTCCAAAAAAAAAAACAATAATAATATAAGTTTGTATGACACACCCCGACCTAATTCAAGGCATGTTGGCCGTCACGTGAGGGTGACGTAGCCATGTGCACAGTGCGGAAGCAATAGAGATATAAGGAATTATGAATAAACAAAAACCAAATCAACTAGAGTACTGGATAAGATAAGGTGTAAGTGCAAGATGAAGTGTGAAATACACAATCAGAGCATAAATAGCCTAAGTGCAGTCAAGCAGGACAAGTACTAATTATACAACACCCAAGGGTGATCCTACATTTATGATGTTCTGCCAGAACCACCGTCGAAATCTTCATGATCCACCAAAGCACTTCTACCTAAAACCTGGAGGGCCACAAAACATAAAGTGTGAGTGGGCAAAAATAAAGTTTTTCAAAATCATTTCATTTCTCAAAAGTTCTAACCCTTCGCCGTAAAACCTGTATAATTTCCCAAAATAATAATAATAATAATAATAAGCTGTATCAGAAATCATACTTAAGATGAAAATCCAGAAAAAGTATATCATGCCAAAGTATCTCAATGCAATGCCATGAGTAATGTGAAATCCCATCCCTGGAATTTCACCATTTATTACGTATTTCATAATTTAAATTCGTATTTCGCGATTACGTTATCTTTATTAGTTAATTTTAATTCCACTAATTATAAGTTTAGTAATTGATTAGTTATCAAGTTGGAAGTTTCATAATCAATCTTTATCTTTTGTTGATATTTCGAAGTTACAACTAGTGTTTTTAAATAGATCTCGAACCTACGAACGCATAGGCGAAAGCCGTTTGCAAGTCTAAATTATAACGGTATAAATTACGGACGTTTGAAGTGGTAAAAATATAGATTGTGGGAATTATTCTAATTTCCACTTATGGGTAAAAGGCCTAAACTTTTTTTTTTGGATTAATGGACCAGCTACTATAAGTGGAATTGGGTATTTTAGGTAGTGGAAAAGGATTAGTCAGCAGCCTTAAAAGGGGACACATCAGATTTTTTTTAAAGGAGGAGAAAGGACCATAGAAAGGAAGGACCAAAGAGGAAAAAGAGGATTTTCCCCCTCCATTTCCGTCGACCCATTTTCACGCGCCCACCGGAGTGGTTTCCGGGCATTTCCACCATTTTTCAGGAGAAATTCAACCATCCATCACCTGCAACCTCTTCCACCATCTCCCATCTTCCATCTCCACCCAAATTTGAGGGTTTTTAGGTCTAAAATAGTGTAAAACCGTGCGGGTGACCCAAGGAGTTTTGACGGTGATTTTGCCATTCCGGCTAGTCTCACCACCCACCACCACCCTTAATCAACTCCCCTTGGACCCAGGAACAAGACCCAATCAGTTGTAGGGGCGTTGGAACACCAAGGAAGCCGAATTGAAGAACACCCACCTTAGGGTTTCGTTAGGTGCGAGCAAATTTTAAGCCCTTCCTGGCCAAATTGGACTCGACCATAGGTATAAAGTTTACTCTACTTGTTGAAATATTTATTCTTGTAGAATTTGAGAATTTTTGGAAAAAGTCGAATTTTCCGATATATGACATTCGATTTATGAAAATGCTGTTGATTGTATATTTTATCGATAAGGTCTGCCACTTGATTATTCTAATAATTGACAATCTTATTGTTGAATTGAGACAAGATTTTAATATGCTATTGTAGATATTGTTTAAGGACCTTAGGGACTTATAAGTGAAAATCTAGTGATTGGATTTTACAAAGCAAATGACGTAAGATCATGGACTCTACATTAGAATGACGGTTCGATTCCTCATTAAATGTTGTTGTGGGAGACATATGAGAATTTTTGAGTATGTGAATTATCGAAGAAAATCTAAATGTGGACTTGTGCTTTGTTAGGCGGTGATAGAACGTGATGCCTTGACTATTGTGCTAGAGTACATTGGCACGGACTCCAGGTGAGTGACTTTAATATATGTGATATTGGTAATTACCAGGTTGTCATAATTATGATCTTGTGTGGATATGAATTGGTTTTATGAATATGTTCTATTGAATTGTTATTCCAATACTTCAACATCAATTTATGTTTATGAAATGGGGTGTGGCATGTATATTGGAAATGTGGTTTGATTTGTATGATTGGCATGTTGAGATTAATGTGAGGACTAGTAATGACTGTTAACCATTATGATGGGGATTCGTTACTTTGATATGGTTTCACCTTCCGCTTCGGTGATTGGTTTTAAATTTAGTAATTGTGCCTAATCTTCCTTTGTTGAGTTTTTGTAAATTAAGTAGCATGTGCTTGTCTCATTTCTTTGAGCCGCCGTACATTATGATTGTTGGTCTTCTACGATTCCGTTGAGTGATGGTCCGAAATCGTATCCACTCGGATTCCGTTGAGAGATGGTTCGGAATCCCTTTTATTCTCCAATTCCGTTGAGTGATGTTCCAGAATCGTATCTAACTTGGGTTTCAAATAGTTATTGTTATGTATTGTACTTAGCGATTCCGTTGAGTGAGGGTCCGGAATCGTATCCACTTGGATTCCATTGAGAGATGGTCCGGAATCTCTCATATTTCACGATTCTGTTGAGTGAAGATCCGAAATCTTACTCACCTTGGAATTTATTGAATTTGAATTGAGATGGCTTCAAAAGTGTAGGTTTTGGCCAAACTGTGTCGCTTTAACTCTACTTTTCATTGTGTTGTATGAGAAGATGGTTGTGAGATGTTGTGATTGGTTTCAGACGAACCGTTAGATGTCTGGGTGACTCATTCAGGGTTTACAAAAGTTAGTATTGATTTCTTATGAATGATTTATATTCAAGATATGTAAATTGTGTTTGATGGTTGGCATTAGCATTATTCTCACATACCTGATATTATTGTCACTCTCATAAGCTTCGCAACTTATCCAGGTTATTGTTTTCCTGGTGCACCATTCCGATGGTGTAGACATTGATCGTGTAGGTGACAGGTTTGAGTAGACTCCGAGAAGTTTGTAGGTGGGGGTAGCAGTGCAGTTATCAGAGACTTTGAGCGTTAGGTTACCCTTGTTTCACTCTTGTACTTTATCTTTTGGGACTTTCTTTTGAGCACCTCATACTTGTTCTTAGTAAAGAAAAGATTATGCTTCTTTTTGGGATGTACATATTTGTAAATATTTTGTGGAGAACTTAGCCACCTTCACATTATTTTGGGTTATCAGTTAAAGTATTTCATTCCATAACTTATACCGTATTCAACGAACATTATTTTCCTTGTTACGTGTCGATTTTCGACGTATGTTGGGATCGGGACGTGACAAGTAATCCAGATAAATATATCAATGTTAGATATCGTATCAGCTAAATCCTTCTAACTCAATATGCACGGTTGAGTATATAGCTCATAACCAATATCAATCATATCAAATCAAATCCTGCACACAAGTCGGAACCACCTAAAGTGGTCTGTATGACAAGACTAGGTGTAAAATAAATATGTTTTAGTGCTACGATCACGTGAAGGCTGTGCGAATAATCGCGGGTCACCTCCGAGTCGGAACCACCTAAAGTGGTATGTACGACAAGCTTGTGCACCTAACTTAGATCCAAGGTGAGCATATGGTGCGGGAGGTGAACATCACGTGAAGGACTGTGCCCTAACTCTGGGTGGGAGCAGTAACATCAGGGTGCAGGTTTATGAGCTCTCAATACATCACATCATATCTCACATAACTGAAGCAATCTCCTATCTTTACTTTATGAACTTACCTGACACTTACCTATGCGTCCGCAGCACCAATCATAAATGTATGCAACTACTAATGCATAATAAGATAGACAGATACTTTGCATGGCATTTCAAAATGCATAATCATTTAAATTCATTTTCTGGGAAAAATCTCAAGTATATAGGTATATACGGAAAACCAAAAGCCCACTCACTGATATGTCGAAGGGTCGTAGCCCCCGAGTCTCGATTGATGACGCTCGTCTTTAGGATAGGTCTCACCTATATGCGAAATGACTGAATATACGTTATTTAAAGCACATACACAAAACTAGGAAATAACTTCCTCAAATGGGGTATTTGAATATACCATCATGACCTACTCAACCTCAGGAACATCTCCATATTTTTAGAAAAAATTTCATGACCCCACGCGCCCTCACACGCTGGCCAAGGCATGGCCAGACGCACTGCCCACGCGCAGACATGTGCCTGGCACACCAAACGGATTCCCTAATGGCGATAGGGAATATTTCGTCAAAAATCAGAATATGCTGTTAAAGTTACCTGACGGCGTCAGAATATTTTGTCAACTTTGATGGAATATTCTTCTCCTTCTTCCTTGGTTCACCGGAGTCCGGCGCCGGCCACCGCTGCGATTGCCGAAAACTGGGAAAGTTTAAACCTTCAATATCTCACTCATATTTCCATCAAAACTTATGAAATTTGTACCAAAATGAAGCTTAGGACTAGAAGAACAAAACCTTACCACTTTCAAGCCTTGAAATCCACGGGATTTCACCAAAGAAACCTCGATATTCCGGCCAAACTTGAAACTTGTCAAACTCAACTTCCCGACGTCTAAAACACTTCATTTTTCTTCTCCGAGCTTCACGAAGGCGTTTTAAAGCTTCCTAGCAGCTTAAAATCTCTTAAAAACTTTGAAATCACGAGTACATGAACAGTAACTCAAAATTACGTTCTCGGGTTCTCGGGAAAATGAGATATTCGCGTTCTAAAAACGGTATAGATGTGTTCCTGAGCTCACAAGGAACACAAAGGTGACTTCAAAAACCTCGATCCGTGAAGAAATTGCTTGGTTTGAGGTTTGTCCGTACGTTTTGTACAAAAAATTGAGAAAAACCGAGAGGGAGGAGAGGGAGAGAGGGTCAACGGGATTGGGTGTGTGTGTGGGTGTGTGGTCTAGCTTGTCACCAACCAAAACTAGGAAAAAATTTAGTTCTAGTTGGGTCCAAAATTTTAGGAAAGAAAATAATTGGTCCACAACATAACTTAAACCACACAACACCACAAACGTTGAAGGATAAATTATACATTTCACACCATCAGAGAAAATCTTTCAGGACGGGCTGTGACATTGTACCCGTTAGTTTTTTTATAAAAAAATTCTCAATTTTTTAATCTTAAATGTACCCATTCATATAATTTTTTATTTTTTTAATCTTAAATGTACCATTCTTAAATATACCAATTTGTTATATGTAAATGTACCCTTTTTAAATATAAAATGTACGCAATTTTTCAATATAAAATCCATTCAAATTTTTTTAATCCATTTTTTAAATTACATGGGTACATTCTTTTTCGTTTATTTGAGAATATGTCCATACCAAGTTTAATCGAAGAAATTTACTAATGTTATTAAGCATAATATCTTTCTTTTTTTTTCCTGTGGTTTTGAAGAATGTACCCATGTTTTGGTACAACAATTTTTTTGTTTTGTTAATTTGATGAATGTATCTATATATATATATATATATGTATATACACAATATAATAGAGAGTATAATTTATATTTTATTATTTCTAATCCCACAAATTATGGATTTTATTTAAAATCTCATTAACATAAACAAATACAAATTTCAATTTTTAGTTTTTAATTTAAAAACTATAGTAACTTACATTATTACATTAATGTCAGAGACTTCGATCAAAACTAAAAACAGACAAAATTTCAATCAAAGGATATTGATAGCTAAGGACCACATCTAAAGTGTCATAAAGAAAAATAAACAAGTTAAAAACCAAATCCACCAATTTATCCAATTGGCTATTTCCCTCAAATTTCTCCACCTTCCCACCAACGGCCCCGTGGAGAGTGGAATAGTATCATGATTATAAAGCTTTGTCCTATGTTATATTGATTACTAGCCTTCATGCACGCGGGTATAAAACATTTTTTGAATCATGGCGTGTTACGCACGACTTACACATTTTAAATGTATTTATATGCGTAAATTGACAAAAAGAAAGTCAAATATTTGAAGTAAATGAATAGTTTTAGATCATGCTACAAGAAACCCCTCATAAATAAATTAAAATAACTAAATCCACATAATAAAATCGGTCCATATTGAATTTATATTAATAATAGAGAAAATAAAATTTAATAAACAACTGATTGAATCACATTATTGCTAGCCCATTGTGAGGCTAAGCTCACCCCTTCCCCCTTAGTGTAGATAATATCGTTTGTTCAAAAAAAAAAAATCATTTGACAACAAATTTAATCACATTATTATCTGCGTGCGAAAAACCTTTTTTATATCATGCATTACACGCTTCTTAAGATGTTTTGAACGTGTTTAAAAATAGAGAAAATAATATTTAATGAACAACTAATTGAATCACATGCTAGTCTATTGTGAGGTACTAATTATTAAAAAAAACTGTACAAAAAAATTAATTATTTAAAAAATATTGTTAAAATGACGAAAATACCCCAGCCACATTTGATGTATTATTTTGAATTGCTTTTGAAGTTTTTTGTTTGAGGGGTATTTTTGTCCAATTATTTTGATGCAACTTGTGACACCAAAAATACTGTTCATTTGGCCCTTGGCTTTTTATATAAAGATGTGTTGGGAATCTCTGGTTATATGTGGCATGCATCTATGTAATGCAATTATGTTTTTTTATGTTTTTGTATCATGGAATTGTGTGATATTGTGACACACCTCGACCTAAATCAAGACGTGATGGCCGTCATGTGAGGGTAACGTAACCATGTGCTCAGTGCGGAAGTGATAATGATATGAATATCTAGCTACTTTACACTAGATAAGTATATAAGTACGAGTGAAGGTTTGAAAACATAAATTCATGTAATCAGAGTATAGGTAACCTAAGTGCAGTCCAACAAACTCCTAAGTGCAGTCCAACAAACTAAGTATTAATTATACAGAAAATGAAAGAAAGTTCCTACATTATTTGAAGTCTGTCAGAACTGCCGTAGAGTCCTCATGAGCCACCAACATGAACGTCTAACTAGAATCTGGAGGGGCGTAAAACAGAAAACGTGAGTGGGCAAAAACAAAGCTTTTTAAAACCATTTCACTTTTCAAAAGTAATAACCCCTCACCATAAAACCAGTATAATTTCCCAGAAAATAGTAATACATATGTATATAGAAATCATGCTCGAGAGTAATGAAAACTAAATATATGCCATGTCAAGTATCTCTGCAATGAAATAAGTAAGCCAGGTGAAATAAATCAATGAAAAATAATATGCCAACCAGAGTCACCTAACGTGACTTGTACGGCTGAGCCTATAACTTATCAACTAATTTCTGCACACGAGTCGGAACCACCTAATGTGGTCTGTACAACAGGCTAGGTGTAAATAGATACGCTCAAGTGCTATGATCACGTGAAGTCTGTGCAAAGTATCGCAAGTCACCCTACAAGTCGGAACCACCTAATGTGGTCTAAACGACAGGTTGGAACTTGCCTTGGATCCAAGGTGAGCGTGTGGTGCGGGAGGTGAACGATCACGTGAAGGCTAGGCCCTGGCCTCGGACGGAGCACTAACACTAGGGTGCAGGATAATGAGCACTAAATGTACTCACCTGAAGCTTACCTGAGCGTCTGCAACGTCATGCAATAATATGCATACCTATACTAATGCACATACTAAAATGTAATGCAATTGACATGACATTTAAAAATGTAAATCCATTTAAAACAATTTTTGGGAAAAAATGTAAAACATATATACGTATATATAGAAAATCAAAAGCCCACTCCTTGGTATGTAGCAGGGATGTAACCCCCAAGTCTCACCTAGCTGCGCTCGTCCTCCGGATATGTCTCACATATATGTGAAACAACTATTTTAACGTTAATTTTAAGCACATAACCAAAACTATGTAATAACTTCTCATACGTTGCTCAATTGGGATGTTTAAATATACCATCATGGCCTAATGAACACCACGATCATCCCCATATTTTTAGAATAATTTTCCGACGTCCCATGCTCAGGCACGTGCTTAGCATACTTACGGAATCCCTAACGGCGTTAAGGAATATTCCGTTAAATAATAGAATATTCCGTCTAAAAACTAACGGTGTTACCTAACGCCGTTAGTATATTCCGTTAAAGTTGACGGAATATTCCTTGTCTTCTCCAGTGGCTTCGCCAGAATCCGCCGCCGGCCGCCATCTGTATTGTCGGTTTCTGGAAAAACTTCAAAC